AAAAAAAAAAAAAAAAAAAGGAAATTCTTAGCATTTCTAGATGTGCCTGTCCCTTGATCATTCCATTTTCCTAAGCAAAGTTTACTTAAAATATTAGTCTTCACATTTGTCAGTTTGTGAGATCTCTTTGCCCTGTCTAGAATCTCTTCTCAGACTTCAGAGGGGTTTCTGGGTTCCTTCTGGAGCCTCCCAGCAGTGGCTCCGTATCACTGCCACTCTGGTCTACTGCCCCCTTGTGGTGACTATGAATGGAACGTCCAGGTCTTGAGGGACACCTTCCATGTAGTAGCCCGAGATGCAGGTGGTGAGGGAATGTACTGTCCCTCCCTAGGAACTAGCTTTCCCATAGGACCCAAATGTCTCCAGGGCCACCTAGTAGGCAGGAAACGGACTAAAGAGAGGATTTTGTTGTTTGACTTCACTGGCTGCCCAGGAGAGCTCTGTGTGTCCTCCAGGACACCTATAAGGTGAGCTCAGATCTGAGCCTTAAAGTACCACCCCTCTCTCTAGTTGCCCAGAAAGCTGATTTAACTATGAATAATAACTTAGTTTACTTTAACTGTGGGTTTGTTTACAGAGGCATTTTCTCATTGATGTGGGATTCTTCAGTGTGTTCTAAATTTATATTGTAAAATCGTTTTTAAGTTTGCTTACTTGACAACTTTTACTTCCCTGTTATGACTTCTTTATGCATCTTTTTTTTTGTTCTCTTGTTTGTTTTATTCTTTTTCTCACATTTAGAAGGTAAGCTTTTCTTGCCTTTTAGTTTTTTTTTTTGCTTAAAAAGTGAAAAAGCATGTCTGAGGTTTTCTTGTGCTGTGTGCTGTGCCTTATTCTGTTTGCCGGTGTGTAACACTGTGCTCAAATACAGGTTAGAATGCGACTTACCTTGGGGCTCTGGACAGACAGACTCTGGCTCATATGGAGCTATTTCTTTGGGGTAAAAACACAAGGAAACATATTACTCGGGATATAAGGCTTTCTATATTTGGTAGCTTCTTTTATCTCTAAGCAGGTTCCTTAGAACTTTTTTGGCCAGGTTCTTAAAAATTGACTTCATTTGAGGGGCAGATTCTCCAGGGGCCGAGGTGACCTCCCCAGGTCACCTCTAGACCCTGCCCTTGGTAAAGGAGACTTTCAGCTGATGTCATCTTTGTTAATGCTGCTTCCACCAGTTTCTTTCTTTTTAAAAAACTTTTTTAAGACAGGGTCTTACCACCATGTAATTTAGGCTGGACTTCAATTCAGTATGTAGCCCAGGCTGGCCTCAAACTGGTGGGGATCCTCCTGCCTCAGCCTCCTCGAGTGGTGGGATTACTGGCGTATGCACCGCCATGCCTGGCACACCAGTTCTCTTGGCCGGCTCTCATATTTTGTTTTCAGAGATGTGCCACTGAGGTTTTAAGCTGTAATGAAATAGCCTAGAGAGCTTAGCTGACACACCTGGCCTGTGTATAAATGATCTGCCGGTCAAAATCAGAAGGCTAGAAGCATAGTATATCTAGTGGTTTTCCAGATTTCAGTCCCTGGCCTACTACATGTTCTGCTATCTGAGCTGTGAATCAGCTGAAGTTCTCTCTGACCTCATGTTTCCCTAACCTGGTCTCTTTTATTTGCTTTTAGCAGATGAGAATGTAGTAAGGAAGAACAGACTTTTAACTTTCATGTTTTTCTGTTCTCGTAGGGGAAATGCCACTAATCACTTAGTGAATAAGTCTTACCGAACTCTATTTGTGCAAGTGCCATTGAGGGAACTCAGTTGAATTTTTCAGTGGAGTTGAGGATTAGGTACTTGTGGGGAGGTGGAGAAGAGAAACAGCTGGTGCTCACCTCCTGCAGTCTTGTAGCTCTCTGTTTTATGCTGCAAAGCTCACTGTTAGGAATGAAAGAAAGTAAATATATTAGCTAAGCCAAAAGAAGCTCAAATAATGACATCCAAATGCACAAGAGATTTTTTTTTAAGCCTCAGTTTGCTCTTGTTGTATATTAAAGTTGGCCTTTGCTATATACATTTACCTGGCCCAATAAATCAAAATACTATGAAAATAGTACACGACAAGTCTCACTTCCAGCCCTCTCCCCACCCACTGTACTTCTATTTGCCCTCTAAGAATAATTTTGATTAGTTACAAGAATATTTAGAAAAATGTTTATCTTGAAAATGGACATTCTCTTGGCTACTTTTAGTTTAATGGGATTGTGTGTCTTTCACTTCTCTGCCTTAAGCAGTGAGTTCACCAGACGTCTGTCTGTTACCACTGGGTTCCCGTTCTGTTTATTGCGTACCGTGTCTTTCACCTCCTCTGGCCCCTACCGATACATAATTAACTTTATCTTACCATACTTATTTCATGCTTCCCCATTGGTGCAGTATTCTTCTGGAAAATGATGCTTCCTCTAGAAAAGTGGGGGAAGAAAGTAAGTGGAACAAATTTTTGGTAAAAGTGCGTCTTGCCCAGTAAGTTCTTATTTTAAAGAGGCAATGCAGCAGCTGATTATATTACCTTCTATGCCTACATTCAAATGACAGGTTTATAAATTTGAAAGTAACTTTGACTGGAGGTAGCTCAGTGGGCGAGCAGCACTGGCCTAGCATGTGAGACTCCCTGTATGCAGTCCTCAGTACTGTCCAAAAACAGTAACTTTAATTTTCAACATTTCATTTCTTCTGTGAATGTAAAAACTGTCCCCTTCTTTAACCAACAGTTAGCTTCCAGTGATCATTAAAAATCAAGTTAGCATTTTTCCTGGGAATACATTATGAATCAAGAAAATGTGGGTGAAACACAGTTCTTAATTCTACTCTGTAAATTTAGTACGCTAAACCTAATCTTTTAAAAATGTGTATTCCTTGTATCTTGATGTATGCTGGGAATTAAAGAGGAAATGAGAGCAAAATTTAAAAAGGTTTCATTGCTAAGAGTTTTTGAATGCTACATCGCTGCTCCTGCAGCTTTGCACCCTGAGTCATTAGGGCAGTGTCAGAATGAGTTGCGAGTGTCCACCCACAGGGTCAGTGGGACTGACTCAGGTGTCGTGTGTGGAAGATGACTGTACTTTACCAAAGAAGGAGATGCTGCTCAGTGTGCGATCCTGCAGTACCAGCCCTTACTGTAGACCCCTGGGACTTAAAGGTTGAATTTTATTCCATCATTTTTGAAAAATTAGCTTATATGTGTGCTTCTTTTGAGTATTGTAGTGTTTTTAAAGCAGCTAAGAGAATGAAAGATTTTAGGAGATGGGGATAAATCGTTAACTCAGGCATTTATGATGTTCTCCCTCCCTCAACCCTTCCAATAAGGAGAAAAATCCCCGAACTGTGAAAGGAGTTGCCGCTCCCTGTCTGATCTAAGCTATCTTCAGCGGGCGCATCTCTTTGTGTGTCTGTAGGTGGCGTAGCTATTCCTAGAGATGAGAAGGGATGGAGAGCCAGAGAGGCTAACTTGTCTGAAGTCTCAGGACCGGGCACTTTTCTCTCACTGTTTAGTTGCTCTTTTCAGCAGCATCTTTGTTCCAGACATGGAGTGGAGGTGGTGGAAATGTGGTCAGAAACAGAGTGGAGTGGGGAGGAGGAGTTGGTGAAAGAAGGGGAAACTGATTGGCCACTCATGTAGCTGGGTCCTTATTTCCTCTATTTAAATTATTCCATTTTGAGTCCTGGGATTCACTTTCCTGATGATACTTCCTCTGTCTGTAGGAGGAGCGCACTCTTACTCACAGGTGTTCTTTTTCTTTTGTTTTAGAGTGTTGAAAAGTCGTTTTTAGTTCTTTCACATATGCAGCATGAAGAAATTACGGGCAGCTTGGGATTTAGCTCAGGGGTTCCAGCGGCTGCTTTGTAAACTCAAGGACCCGAGTTTGATCCCCAGTAGCAGAAAAGAAAGAAAGAAAGAAAGAAATCATGGGGTTCACAGGTATTCTTGAGGCCTAAACATATTTTACATTTTAGGAATGTTTCAGTTCCCGAGAAACACAAAAAGGGCTTCTTTTAGGCTGTCCTTCCACCTCTGGTAAGAGGGAGAGAGTTGTCAAGGCACTGTTTTTTAATTTAAAACTTGATCTGAGGAAAATTTCCCTGAAAAGGGGACCAGGGAAGGTCAGGTAGCTACTTCCTTGCTATTGCAGTGCCACAATGTTATATCTGGTCTTTTTATACTCACTCTTAAAACTCACCAAAAACATATAAGAAAATGGTGGAGAGCTCTTTTTGTAAATTTGAGTGTTTATAGAAGAGAATATGGAAGGGACAGTATTTCCCGTTTCCTTCAGATTGTAGTCTGGGTACTTAACATTTACTTAACAAAGTTTTTTTTTTTTTTTTTTTTTGGTACTGGGGATTGAACTCTGGATTTTGCACTTGTGAGGTAGGCAGTAGAACCACTGAGCTAAATCCCCGGCCCCAACTGAACAGAGTTTAATGACAAGCTTGTGTTACATGATATGGTTGATCACTGAATTATAATTACTTTTACCCTTTATAATATATGTGTCTCCAACCTGATCTCTAGGCCTTTGTGTTTAGTGAATTATTTTTATCATATCCTATGCTAGTGTACTTAGGTGGCTTGTGATGGAATTCTGTCGATTTCATCATAAATACTGCTCCTCAAAAGAAAAATACATGAGATTCTTAGAGACCAAAATATTTCTCATCAAAACTTTTGTTTTAATAGATATGTCATTGTACTATATTGTTTAAATGATTGCTATAAACTGCATTGTTTCAGAAAGAATTTAAGGTGGCCCTTTCAATGATAGTTTTAAATCTTCAAATTTATCTAAAATTCACATGTTAAAACTGGTAGCTCTCTGGATGTGGTGCCACCATACCCGTAATTCAAGCAGTTGGGGAGGCTGAGGCAAGAGGATTGCCATGAGTTGGAAGCCAAGCTGGGCTACATAGTGAGATGCTCAAAAGGTCACTCTCACCCCTACCTCTATCAGAAAGAACAACTGATAACTAATTGAAACCCCCAGTTGTAAAATGCACCACCATTCCAAATTTACATTGATTCCGTTTACCTGAAAATGAACATCTTTTGGTTTTCGTTTCTTGGTATCATCAGACCACCCACTCAGGAGTTACTCACTTCCTTCCCTTTTGCCCTTACTCCCTTCCCTACCTGCCTCAGCCTCCTGACTCAGCCTACAAAAGTGCTGGGATTATAAACATGAGCCAGCCCTCCAACCCTCTCTTCCTCTCTCTCTCTTTTTTCTCCTCTTTTCTTTCCTCTCCTGCCTTCCTTCCATGTGTGTATGTATATATGTATGTATGTATTTAGAGATAGGCTCTTGCTCTGTAGTCCAAGTCACCCTTGAACTTGGTGTGTAGCCGAAACTGACCTCAAACTCAAAACCTTCTTGATTTAGCCTCTTCACGTGCTGGGGTTGCAGTTATGCACAACCACGCCCAGCTCCCCGTTTCTTAATCTGTAAAATTACAATATATTTAAATTTGAAATTCAGTGAGGTAAATGAGAGGGCAAGTGGCTTAAATGTGCAGGAAATGCTTGAAGTTAGTTGTCTTGCTTGTAGTCTTTACTCCTAAGACTAGATGCAAAAAAATTTCTAACTTTCCCTTTTGAATTTAGGTTTCTTGAAGTGTAATTAAGTCTTTATTGCTGTCAAACTGAAAGTAACTTTTCAGGAAATAGTTATTAACATGTTTTAAATTAAATATTTTCACTGTGACGTAATTCTTCTCCAGAGTGTGTGCATATGTCCTCAGAACTAAATATATATATATATCTATCCTGTACCTAGGCAACTTGGGTTATACCTTACAATTTATGTTAAACCTGAAGGTGGTCTAGCTCCCTGAGGCTGCCTGAGATTCTCTTTTAAAAAGATACTGACTTGACTTGGGGCTGGCCATGGTGGCACATGGTTCTGATCCCAGGGGAGGCTGAGGCAGGAGGATCACTGAAAGTTCAAGGCCAGTCTGAGTTGCATAGTGAGTTCCAAGCCAGAACTTTGCTAATTTGGAATTAAGCTTTCCTTTCCTTTTGAAGGCAAGCTTTGCTCTACAAATTAATGTAAAACAAGGTGGAAGAAAGGAACAGATATTTAAATCATGTGAGGATCAAAGAACTAAAAAAATACTTTGTCACTGGGTTGGGTGGCACACCTGTAATCTCAGCACTCAGGAAGCTGACGCAGGAGGAGCTGAGGCCAGCCTGGACTACATAGTGAGATATAGTCTGAAAACAAAAGCATCCCCACATCCTGGGGGAAAAAAAAAAAAAAGTACTTACTACTTGTCTGTACAAGTTACAAATGGATTTTGAAATAGATTTTTTCACGACACCACTCCCACTTTTTCTTTCTCTCTTTCTTTCACTAGAGATTGAACCTGTGGCCTTACACTGAGCTATATCAGCTTTAAATTTTTATTTATTTAGGTACTGGGGATGAAACTGAGGACCTTGCACTTGTGGGGCAGTGGCGGAACCACTGAGCTAAATCCCCGGCCCTACCTTAAATTTATTTTGAGACAGTCTCACTAATTGCCCAGGCTGGCCTGGAATTCCCAGCCCTCCTGCCTCTGTCTTCTGATTTAATTTATAACTACCACAACTTCATGTACTGTAATTTGATAAAAATAATTTATTCCCATTTTCCCCAGTAATTTAGTTCACTTCTTTTTTGTTGCTGTGGCTGAGAATTAAGGTTAGAACAGTCCAATAGCGTATATCTGTTTGGAGGTGGGGAAGGAACCCCAAAGCTGACAGTCCTATTGTTTGAACAATTACTTTGGCTATCCACATTCTCCTTTTTTTTTGAGACAGGGTGTCGCTATTAGTTCAAGCTGGCCTTAAACTCACTATGTAGCCCAAGCTGGCCTTGAACTCTAAGTGACCCTGCTGCCCTACTCTCCCAAGGGCTGGGATTACAGGTGTGCGCCACCACGCCCCGGCGCTTTCTCCTTGGAATTGGAAGTAGGGATGCGCCTGCTGCTCTCTTGTGGGAAACCGCAGTATAACACCCTTAAGAACTGTAGTTCTGCAGGATTGGGAATTGAAGTTAGGGATTATAGGACTCTGCCTGGAATTTTAGAGGTGAACTCCTTGCATTGATAGCTGAGCAAAAAGGAGATGTGTCTTTTAAGATGTTAAATAGATACTTTGAAGATGACCAGCCTGTCCGTTCCGGGATGAGTACTTGAGTACTGATATTGTTCTTTGCATTTTTCTGTATTAAAAATACTAAAATATATACATGTATTTTATTTTAAAATATATGTATGTATACTGCAGACTGAACCCAGTGCCTCACGTTGAGCTACATCCTCAGCCCTTTTACAATTTATTAACCCTCCACCTCCACCACCTTTAGTGCTGGGGAATGAACTCAGGGCTTTTTGTATTGAGCTACTTTCCTTGCCTGCCTGCCTGCCTGCCTTCCTTTCTTTCTTTCTTCTTTCTTCTTTCTCCTTCCTTCCTTCCTTCTAAGAGTAGGAAAAATTTTTTGAGAAAAGAAAACTTTAGTCTAAAAGAGAAGGGAAACCAGAAAGTGGGTTGCCCACTAACCCAACTTCTCAAAGGTGTTTTATGAGACAAAGCCACAAGGTGAGGTGGTCTTTTTATTCATTTTTTAATGAAATGACAATGTCTTAATGCCACCAGGCCCCATCAATTTCATTTTTTATTTTGAGGCAACATCTCACTAAACTGCCCAGTTTGTTCTCAAATTTTCAGTCATCTTGCCTCACACTCTTGAGTAGCTGGGATTACAGACATGCACCACTGTGTCTAGTCAAAAATACATAGATTTTAAAAAATGGGTTAATCTGTTGTCTCCCAGCTGTATCCCAGGATATTTTATGCTGGTTTTACTCTCATTATGAATTATACTCGTAAATAATAAATCAAGACCCGTTTTTTACATCCTGCCACCTTCTCCCAGATTACAGAAGAACTAAGGGAATTAAGAATAAGGACTAACAGTAAGAGCCAGAAAAGTACACATTCTTGCATAACATGTAATGTTTTATTTGGCATAAAACAAAACTGCTACAATGACAAGTTCAAATTTCTTTTTCCAATTGGTTTTTCAGATTAATTTAATATAATGAAACATCATCCAGTGTGTGAGTGTGTATTTCAGAATGTATGGAGAGCTGTGATTTGTGGCACCACATACTAATGAGGCTTGTCTGAAGCTGGGAGGGCCCTGGCAAGGCTGTGGTAGATGGATGTTGCCTAGCAGAAAGGCTGATAATGAGGCATGTGACAACAGGGCTTTTTCCTGCTGCGGACATTAAACATCTTTTGGCTTGAGCAGTTTTGCCAGTTTTCACAGTTTTAGCAATGGAGATATCAGGCAACAGAATAGAATTAACTAAAGATTTGCATGTAAGATGCTGCATTTTGACAGAAATAAGAACTGTGACTTGATGAGATTATACTGAAGACCATTGTGGGACCACTTTAGCTACTGTATGTAAGTGTTGTAACAGCTTCTCTGTCTACTTTTTATCATGGTGTTTTAGTTTTTGCAAAGAAAATAATTGTGGGCTTTCTCTTCCAAAGGACACTGAAGCCATGAAGAGAGCATTGGCCTCCATAGACTCCAAACTGAACCAGGCCAAAGGTTGGCTTCGTGACCCTAGTGCCTCCCCAGGTAACCCTTTGGTTCTGCTTTTCTGGTGTGTACGACGAAGAGCTCAAATCCAAGAAAGGAAAGGAAGGAAGACATCCCCTCATAATGTGATAACTTTGTGGATCACGCCCTGTGCTTTGAGAATCTTGACCAGTTGAAGCATTCGTGAGCCTTCAAAGGATAAGGGCATAGGTCACATTGCCTCTCAATCATGGAGGCACAGACCAAGCTGAGCTGGGCATTCTTCACCCATTCCCTGTAGCAGAAGGACAATTATTTTGAATAAAACTCTTCTCTGCTAGTTCCCTGGGCAGACTTCCATGTATGTCAACAGAGTACTTAATTAAGAAGATTAAATACTGATGCCAATAAAAATTGGAAAGCAAAGTTGACCATATAAAGATAAGACCCAAGTAGGTCATTGAGTTTGGCTTTGTGGATTTCTCAATTTAATATTGATTCAGTTTTAGATGAATATTTGAATGAATGTGAAAAGCCTCATGGAGGTTGGAGGTACTGAGTGCTGTTAAACTGTTAGAGTCTATTTTCATCATCCATGTTCTTAACCCCTCATTGGTTAGTATCTCCAAATGGATATGGTTCCACGTACAGTAAGTCCCTGGCTTAAGAACGTTTGGGTTGTGAACTCGCAAAGGTGTGCTGTCCAAGACTCACTTTGTCAGCCTGCAAATGATTCTCCTGGAATGGAACTCGTTGGCAAGTTTGGGACTTACTGACTGCCTCTATCATTTTTTTAGCAGCATCTGTGGTTGGAACCTCTCCCTGTAGTTGTAAGGGCAGCGCTCACTTTGGTGTTAGCTATCAGCCTGTATTCACTTGTCTTATTGCGAACGATCACCCATCCCTTCATGAGTGAAAAGACTTTGTAAAGTACCCTCTCTGAATGACCCACACATCTACAATGCAGACACCGAGTATCTTTATTTTAGGGGACGCTGGTGAGCAGGCCATCAGGCAGATCCTAGATGAAGCTGGAAAAGTCGGTGAGCTCTGTGCAGGCAAGGAGCGCAGGGAGATCCTGGGGACGTGCAAGATGCTGGGGCAGATGACTGACCAGGTGGCTGACCTCCGGGCCAGGTAAAGTTCCTCTGCTCTCACCAGACCACTAGCGGATAGCTCGCTCCTTATGGTGTGATTTACTGAGTTATCTTTGGATAGTAGATAACTAGGTCTTAGATTATTCTGCCAGGAACTTTCCTTTCTCAGAACTTTAAAAATATACAGATGTTTCTTGGCGTGGTGGCTCATGCTTATAATCCTAGCCCTTGGGAGGCAGAGGCATGAGGATTGCCATGAGTTGGAGACCAGCCTGGGCTACATAGTGAGTTCAAGGCCAGCCTGAACTACATAGTGAGACCCTGTCTCAAAAACAAAACAAAAATAATAAAAATAAAATATCAGATGCTTAACAGTAAAATTGGAACTTGTTCTGTAATTGAAATAGAAATTTGCTTTTTTAGTTTCTAGCCATCCACTTATGAACAGTAAGGGGTACTTGGTTAGATATCTTTTAAAAAGGATGGGTTATGTATCTTCTATAAAGAAGCTTGGAGAATGAAACTTTGGAGTTATTTTATCTTTTAAAAATCATTTAAATAGATTATCGTCTAAAATGGTAATATCTGGGCTCTTTTGAGTTGGTATTTTACCATTGCTTACTTGGTTTTTAAAATTCTCTTATCTTTTATTCTCAAGTTTTGGCTTTCAAACTCCTTCCATAAGCTCAGTAGTTTGCTGTTGAGAAGTTGGTATAATACAGATTTATTTAGAACTCATGCATGGAGTTAATGAAGTTCTAAATGATACTCATTTTTTCTGGAATTTTATAAGATAGCTATTAAGAAAAATTGAAGTCTATGGAGGTACTAGTATAGATAAAGTTTAATTTACCTTTGAAAATGTGAGGAAACTTCTTGAGACCATTGGGATACCCAGGGTGCCCAGACAGACAGGGCTCAGAAACACTTCACATGCTGTGTATCCTTGTACCTTGCCTCCAACTATTCACCTGTCAGAATACAGACCTTAAGGGAGCGGTTCTTACTGCATTCATGACAGGGCCATCATCTGTATAGCTCACTGCCAGCTGGCTCTGAACCAACAGCAGCGCATGTGCGCCTGTCCCATGGGGTGGCATGGGACCAGTCCCACTGGGTGGTTCAAGCCACCTGATGGAACTGTCACACATTTACCACTGGTGGCTTAAGCTGGCGGGAACAGATCAACCACTTTGGGATCAAGGCCATTTTCATAATTAGATGAAAGCATTCATCATCACCTAAAAAGATGAATATGCTCAGTAAATGACATAATTTCTAGGAATGTGTGGGTTCACCGTAGCCCGGGAAGCTCCAGGGCTGCAGGTTGTATCCTTATCTTGAAGGAGAAAAGAAACAGCTTCAATAAATGTGGTTTCTTTGAGCTCATTGAATGTTTCTTCTGCTGAGAATCAGTCTCACTTGTCATGAGCATGACAAGAACTTTGCAGAGTGGACAAAAAGAAGTTTTGTTCCCATTTGGAGAAATGCCAACACAGTTTGACAAGATTCTTGGCTCTTCTAATTTCTCATTTCTGCCTCTTTTGTCTGAAACCTTTTCACAGTGTGGTAGGCAGTTTTCACTTGGAATTCTCAAACACACAATTGTGTGTGTTTAGAGAGATGAATATGAGCAAGAGAATGAGGCAGTTGTTGTATGGGATGGACCATTAATCTGTAAAAAGAAAAGGCTAGAACAGTGATGAGTAGCTTTGGGCCTGACTCACAGTGGAGTCTTCAGTATCCTTTTATAATGAAAGGTTATAAAGCTACCTTTCTGTTGTCCTTTCTTAAATATACCCACTGGCCGACACACAAAAACACTTTCTTCATTGATATTCTTCTAGTCTTGAAGAGTCCCTGCATTGTAAGAATATGTCTTAACTTCTATGGGATTCAATAAACTTTTTATTTTAAAGGTAGTCCATACATACTTTTTCACATTTGGATTTATATACCCAGATGATTCCTCATTGAATTGAAGGGGTAAAAAGCAAATTTAATCATAAGTAGTGTGTTTCCTGAAAGTCTCCCCTTCTTTAGCCGGGTGAAAGGAAGAAGGCAGGCCTCAAGTCTGAGAGAAAGAAGAAAGATGTGTCTGCACCTTTTATATCTTTGATAATAAATTTATGGAGTTCATTATCTCAAGTATTACTATAGGTGAAAAATAGATGGCTTTTAAAAAAGATACATAAATGAGTGACAGGTTCATGTTATTATTAAAGGAAGAAAGATGTTTTGGGCTTCATCCTAGAGCTGAAAGCTCAGATTAGAATACGCCATGCCATTCTCTCAAATGATAAAGTTGCCATTCCTGTGATTGAGTTTACCAGGTGGATTAAAAAAATCTGAATTTGTAAAAAGTTGACAACTCATACTTTATGACTTGAAAGTCTGTTAAGGAAAACAAGTTTCTACTGACTCATAAGTTTTTGGGGGGTGGGGGTGGGAGTAGTGCAAACCATTTTTCAGAAAGGAGAATCGTGAAATTAGTTCTTTAGGAAATTGATGGGAAACAATTTGTAGGTTGTCTAGGAGTGGAAAATAGACTTTAAAGATTACCATTGGGTTCATTGTAATAATGATGATACTTAGGCTGTAATAGGTTGTAATATTTGTATTGCTTTATTGTCAAAGTGTTTCCAAGTATATTATCTTTATGTGTGAAGCTACTCTGTTAAATAAGCAGGATAAGCACTATATTGTTTCCTTCCTTTATTTTGTAAGTCATTTCTATTCTGTAAGAAAAAAATACTCTAAAGTCCATTGGGGTTAAGCATCATAAACAAAGTTCCACAGGTACCAAGATTTAGTTTTTGAGCATGAATCTAATTGGTCTCAGTGTGGTGTGCTTTTGGTAACACTGTGTGTGCTGCCTCGGGAAAGATTTTCAGTGTACACTAGCCCATAAATAAGACAATTTAATGGGCTACTTATTTCTAAAGCACGCATCACTATGGTAACAAAGCCCTTCATAGCAATAGGATCCCTAGCACATTTGCCAACTGAAGTTTAGATTTGGTTATGTAATCACCACCAAGAGGAGGATAATTATCAAAATCTGCTGTCTTAACTTCAGTGTAGCTCTGTATTTCTATAAAGTGAATGTGTATTTTTAAAAGCACAAGAGAAAGGAGATGGATTGAATGTCTCATTTAGCTGTGTTTTCATGTGCAGCCCGAGGTTACTGGGAAAAGGAGGAAGACAAGCATGTTAATGACAGGCACTGTGGTGTTGGGGATATTTTGTTATGAAGTATTTGAGGGGGTACAGTGACAGCATCTGTCTGTTTGAGCAGAGGACAAGGAGCCTCTCCAGTGGCCATGCAGAAAGCCCAGCAGGTGTCCCAAGGTCTGGATGTGCTCACAGCGAAAGTGGAAAATGCAGCTCGCAAGCTGGAAGCCATGACAAACTCAAAGCAGAGCATTGCAAAGAAGATCGATGCTGCTCAGGTAGTGACAGTGATTTGCAGGGGGTTGGAAGGAAGAGAGAAAGTGCCATAAATATCCTGTGTTCCCCATCATTTACTGTGGGTGGATAATGGGTGTTTCTAAGTGATGGCTGAGTGACTGCTACCTTGCGGTTAGGAGTGTTAACACCTCCCTACCATCACAGGTTTAGACTAATGTTCATCTCTATTTTGAAATAAAGATCTTAATTTTGAATACTTCAACTAGTTAAAAATAAGCATGTAGAGCCAATTGTGGTGGTGCACGCCTGTAATCCCAGCACTCGGGAGGCTGAGGCAGGAGGATCGCTGTGAGTTTGAGACCAGCCTGGGCTACATAGTGAGTTCCAGGTCAGTCTCAACTACATAGTGAGACCCTGTCTCAAAAAACCAAAAAAAAAGCACGTAGAATACCAAGAGAATCTTAGCTCCTGATACAGATTGCAGTACATTGAAAGTATTCCTTATTTCAGAATTCACAATTGTTTTTGGTCATAGCAGGATTAAAGGTTAAATTTTTCTATTTCTTTTGTACGTTAAATTATTTTAAAGCATTTCACAAATACAAATGTTTGAGAAACTTGAAAAATGTTCCTAGAGTTGGGCCTGGTAGTACTTGCCTGTCTGTAATCCTAGCTACTTGTCTGAGGTAGGAAGTTTGCAAGTTGAAGGCCAGCCTGGGCAACTTATTGAGACCCTGTCTCAAAATGAAATAATATAGGGCTGGGGATTTAGCTCAGTGGCACAGCACCTGCCTGGCAAATGCGAGATCCTAAGTTCTATCCCCTATACCAAAAAAAAAAAAAAAAAAAAAGGGTAAAAAGAAAATATAGAAATGGTTAGGGAATGTATTCAGTGGTAGTGTACTTGCTTAGCATATGTAAGGCCCTTCATTAAATCTCCAGTGCCCCAAAAAGAAAGATCCTCATTAATTCAAAGATGAGGTAAAGTTCATAAATAAATATATTCTAACGGAAGTGGGCAGAATTAAAAAGAAGGAGGGGCTGGGAGTGCAGTGTTGTTTCATGTTTAGCACATACAAAGCTGTAGGTTCTAGCCCCAGCATCAAAAAGAGAAGGGATGGATTCATTCTTACCTGAGCTCAGAACCTCAGTAAAACAAAAAGAATCAGCACTTAAAAAGTGATTACTAGTGTGCATGACTTTAGAGATACTTAGGAAGTTCAATTAAATGTGTTTGATTGCAGTGTTGTTCATTTCTGTGTGCAGAACTGGCTTGCAGATCCAAATGGTGGACCTGAAGGAGAAGAACAGATTCGAGGAGCTTTGGCTGAAGCACGCAAAATAGCAGAATTGTGTGATGATCCTAAAGAGAGAGATGACATTCTGCGCTCCCTTGGAGAAATATCTGCTCTGACTTCTAAATTAGCAGATTTACGAAGACAGTATGTATTTAATCCCTTTAATTGCCCTTTAATACCTTTCTTTCTCTCACCTCTTCCCCTCTCCCTCTTTCTTTTTCCTGTAGGAATATAGAGAATTGAATTCCTGGGCCAGGGATTTAGCTCAGTGGTGCTGCCACCTGCCATGCAAGCACAAGGTCCGGAGTTCTATCCCTGGTACCAAAACAAAAGAAAAGAAGAGAATTGAATTCCCATAGGTTCAATGCATATATGATATCTCATATATACATACATACGTGTGTGTGTGTGTGGTGTGTGTGTGTGTGTGTGTGTGTGTAATTTCTAAGCTAAGACTTTCTCTGCTATTTGTAAAACATGTCTGTTCACTAGACATAGGAGGAAAGTAATTTTTATGGCCAGCTATGAAAAGACTCCTGTGTGTGTATGTGGGAGAAAGGGAGAAACATAAGGAGATATTTTCTTCTTTCTCCAGCAATGTTTTGTTTTTGTTCTTGTTTTGAGACAGGGTTTCACTATGTAGTTCAGGCTGGCCTCAAATTCACTATGTAGCCTAGCTTGGCCTTCAACTCTTGGCAGTCTTCCTGCCTCAGCCTCCCGCGCATGTGCTACCACACCCAGCCTATGTTATTTCTCCTTTTTTTTTTCTTTTTTCTTTTTTTGGTACCGGTGATAGAATTTGGGACCTTGTGCTTGTGAGGCAGGCGGTGGCACCAGTGAGCTAAATCCCTGGCCCTAGCCTATGTTATTTCTAAAGTAGCAAGTATAAAAAACTCTTAAATTATGTTTCCTTGGTGATTGTTGCTGTAAAAACATCCTCACCACAGTTTCCCCTCTTAACACTTTTGTGGCACCTACTATGATTATATGGAAAAGAGGTGTTGCTTTGTTCTGATAAGTATCTAGGTCTTTAAAAAACAAACTGCAATACATGCTAAACAAACGGTGAGGAAGGGTATAATGTCAGAAGTAAGTTGCGTTCTTTAGTTCCCCAGACCTCCAGCCCCATTCTTGGAATAACTACACTCAAGTGTCTTGAGATATTCTAGTTTTCACCTTACCTGCCTGTTTCCTCCTCTTCCGTGAGGGAATGCCTCCTTTTTTTTTTGCCCCAGTGAGAGATACTTTAGATTTTTTGAAGTCTTTTGTTGACTAAGACTGCAATGCGAGCTAGTAAGGTTTCTTCTGCCTCATATCATGAACTAAATTTGACGGAAGTGGGGTAAATGCACTTGGCCTGTAGGTTGTGGTTTCAGAACCCAATCTGGGTGACAGCTCAGATCTGATGGATTATATGTCAGGGCCAGTCATTTGGAGATCATTGTCATATCAAATTCTTGAATTATTTCAGTGAGAAAAGGTGTACTTAATCAGTTGTAAAATATGTCTAACATAAGTATATTGTTACTATTAAGTCATTAGTACATGGTGAAGAGATAATTAATGGTAATGATGATGACAGGAGAGCTTCTTGTGTGGCTACTTGTATTGTATTATACGTGTTGCTGTAACATTCTCATAAACATGCTACATGTATCCTCTTGGCTGCGGCAGGAACTATGACCAGTACTCTTTGTCTAGCTTTATGATGATTGGGAATGTTATAGAAACTGAAAATTCTAAGGTAGCCCTTGAAAGAGTATCTAAATTAGTCATACTGGCCGATGGGTTAATGTTTTTATTTTTACCTGAGAAATAGGTGAAATAGGTGAGATTAGTCAGAAGGTTACTTTTCTATGACTGAGTGGACTCTAGATGTAAAGTTAGATTCTTTGTGTACTGTTAATGGTTAGAATCTAGAGTCATCTTTGGAATAAGGTTTTGGCGGTAGTTATTGACCTTTGTGAAATGATTGCCTTTTTGTTTCTGTGTTAATTCTTGTTGAGGTTTTGCTTGCAAGGAACTAACTTAAATAAAAAGTGGAGGCTTAGCCAACTGTAGTGGAATTATGCCCGTAATCCTGGCACTCTGGGAAGCTGAGGAAGGAGGATTGCAAGTTCAAGCTCAGCTTGAGTGTCTTAGATTCTGTCTCAAAAATAAAAAATAACCAGGTGTGATGGCACACCCCTATACTCCCAGGCTGAGGCAGGAAGATCACTGCAAATTCAAGGCCAGCCTTGGCTATGTGGTGTGTTCCAGGCCAGCCTAAACTACATAGCGAGACACTGTCTCAAAACAAAACAAAAACAAATAAATTAAAAAAAAAAAGACTGGGATGTAGCTCAGTGAAAGTCCCTAGGTTCAATCCCCAGTATGAGGGTGGGTAGAGGTTTATTGAAAACGTGAAGGCATCTGATAGAACCCAACAGTTTGGACTGTGGCCAGGTGTTGTAGCAACTAGAAGCCCCCTCCTCTAACACTTAATCTTGTGCTGTGTGGCGCCCCCTATGTCTGCCTCACTCTGGGCATTTATTTGGAGAGTTTTCCTCTGGATTTAACTACAAAGGACCCGAGGTGACTTTTATTCAGACTGTACTTTGAGAGCCACCTCCATCTAGTCCTAAATCCTTGGCTGTAGTATGTTGTCCTTGAGTTAAATAACAGCCTGGTTTGAACTGCCACAGCAGGGATTGGGGATTGCGTGATACCAGTGTGAGGTAACACAGATTCCCAGCAGCTTCAGAGTGAGAGAGTATTGGGTTTGAGCCTGACTCCACCAAAGTAATGGGACCTTGGGGCTTGGGCCTCAGTTTTTTTGTTTTATTAAAATTTTTATAAAAGATAATACAGGTAGGATTTGTGAAGATTAAATAAGAAGGGCGTTTGCAACAATATCTGACAGAGTTAGGACTCAAAAGATAATACTTCTGTAGTTCTGTTCAGCCCACCTAGTTCCGTGGGAGCTAGTGTTTTCAAGGGAGGGAGGCAGAGAGAGCAAGTAACCTAGTTAACCAAACACTTGAGTTCCACTGAACTAGCCTGACTCAAACTCATTTTGTCTTCTTTTTTTTTTTTTTTCAGCTTTAATTGAGTTTATTGGTACATTTTAGGGATACAGTACAGTTACATTCATTGTTGGGATTTTGTACCTCTACATGAAAAGTCTTGATTCTCATTTTTTCCCCTTATCCCTGCCCTCCCTTCACCCCCTCCTCCCCTCCTCATCTACATCATTTTGTCTTAAGTGGCACAAAACAATCTGAATTTAAATAGTTAATTTCTTATTAAAGAGCCAGATAAATAAAGGTCTCCTTTCATACCAAGTTGGTAATGATCATTAGCAGTTTGTCATCTCATTAGCATTTGTCATTTGCAGTTCAGCTCTCTCAATGAAACTAGTGTCTGTTTGACAGGATGGCTATTTTTTCTCTGTAGGGGGAAAGGAGATTCCCCAGAGGCCCGAACATTGGCCAAACAGGTGGCCACAGCCCTGCAGAACCTGCAGACCAAAACCAACAGGGCTGTGGCCAACAGCAGACCTGCCAAAGCAGCTGTTCACCTCGAGGGCAAGATAGAGCAAGCACAGCGGTGGATCGATAATCCCACAGTGGACGACCGGGGTGTTGGTAAGGATCATTGCCCTCCCTCATTAAACTGGCCTCAGTGCAGATGAGCAGGTTGCTGCTAGGGGTCCCATAACATCTGTGATAAGGTGCTGAAGGGCTCTTCAGCCATTGGTAAACCAGTCACTTTCCAGTGTGATTCTATTTCCAAAAGCAGCCCATGAAAATCCTCATGATTTGATCAACAAGTAAGAGAAAGTAAATGTTTTTGTTGCACACAAATAGAAAGATGCTCATGTCATAATTGAAGCTTTGAACTAATTATTGCCAAGTCCTAGTATCCTTTTGTCCTCTGGCATTTGTGTTTTTACAGTCCTTGCTGAGGACCCAGTTAAATATAATTTTTGAAAATAGTAAAAGGCACCTGACTCCCCACATTATTTCAGTTGTGAGAGCTCAGTTTTATTAGTTAACCTGAAAAAAATTAACCTAAAATTTTAGCTAGGTTTTATGGTGCGTGCCTGTAATCCCAACTAGTTGGCAGGCTGAGGCCGGAGAATCCAAATTTGGAGAGCAGCTTAGGCAAATTAGTGAGACTCTGTCTCAAAATAAGAATATAACCTAAAATTTTTATTTTGGGGAGACATTAGGAATGGGTCTCAAGAATCCTCTACGAGTTTACTTTATGATAGCAGACCCACTGAAGCTGAAGATTACTTACTCCATTGCTGTATTTGTTTGATAAAGATAAAATTTTAAATTGGTGGTGCTCAGTGTGGGTGAGAGGCTAGAGAACTGAGCTGATGTATAGCTTACTGGTGTAGGAATAAACTGACAAAAACTTTGTGAATTTAGTATTTTATGTTAAGGGCTTTTAAAAAGTTCATATCCATCGACTCAGCAATTTGACTTTTAGGAATTTTCTTCTAACTACTTTCTTTCTAAGGAGTCAATGGAATGTAGGGAAACAAGCTAAGTGTTCCATAAGTCGTGAAATAGTTATAGTTAATTGATAAAAATGCATGTTGCCCTCTTTTTCCTCCTCTTCCTCTTCTTCTCTCCCCACACTTTTTCTTCTGCACTGGGGATTAAACCTGGGAGCATTGAACGATGTGCCCTTTTTATTTTGAAGCGGATCTTACTGAGTTGCCTAAAGTGGCCTCAAACTCAAGCTCTTCCTGCCTCAGCTTCCCTAATAGTTGAGATTAACACTGTGGGCTACCACACATGGCTAAATCATGTTTTCTTTGTTAGTATTTTCTGCAGTGTTGGGGATCAAATCCAGACCCTCACTTACGCTAGGCAAATGCTCTATCAATAAATGCTCTACCCCCAAGCCCTACATCATGTTTTTAAAAGATATTTAGTGAAGTGGAAAAATGCCCATGTTAAAGAAAAAGAATAGAGGAATAAGCTGGGCATGGTGACTCACCTCTGTAATCCCAGCACTTGGGAGGCTGAGGCAGGAGGATCGCTATGAGTTCGAGACCAGTCTGGGATACAGTGAGTTTAAGGTCAGTCTCAACTACATAGTGAGATCCTGTCTCAAATAACCAAAAAAAAAAAAAAAAAAAGAATCGAGGAATACTACTTGGCTGGGGTAGAGCACTTCCGTAGCATGCACAAGACCCTGAGTTTCATCCAAGCAACACACACAAAGAAAGGAAGGAAGGAAGGAAGTAAAGACTGATTAGTGTATAGAGGCTAGAGGTGTAGTTCAGTGGGGGCACTCTTGTCTAGCATGCACCAGAGCAAAACAATAGTAATAAGGTATAGTTTTTCTAGTCTTAGCTGTACTTTCTTGTATTTTTGGTGTTTTCTCAGAGAATCCTAGCCCCCTACTAAATGTTAAAAAAAAAAGCTAATTGCAATGGCATTGAAGTTGTCTCCTCTGGGTTTGAGTTGTAGTGTTGTCTTCTTCTTTTTCTTTTAACATTATTATTATCATTTGGTACTGGGGATCGAACTCGGGCCCTTGTGCTTGTGAGGCAGGTGGCAGAACCACTGAGCCAAATCCCTGGCCCTGTAGTGTTGTCTTCTTGGTGTAGGTCAAGCTGCCATCCGGGGGCTTGTGGCTGAAGGGCATCGTCTGGCCAACGTCATGATGGGGCCTTACCGCCAAGATCTTCTTGCCAAGTGTGACCGTGTGGACCAGCTCACAGCTCAGCTGGCTGACCTGGCTGCCCGAGGGGAAGGGGAGAGTCCTCAGGCGAGAGCACTTGCCTCACAGCTCCAGGACTCCTTAAAGGTAGGACTTGGGAGCCCTTAGCATTATAGTTTTTATGCTTGTCATTATTGCAAATGGAAGGGAGAATTTTTTAAAGTATGTAATTTCTTGTGTTTTAGGAGAGTGAAAAGAATGTGACCAAGGATGTAAGGAAATGCAAAACCTATTAGGAAAAAGCTTACCAGTGTATAGTAGCAACTGAAATGGTGTTTAACCAAATTTCATTCAATTGAGAGCTCTTTCATGATAATTGCTGTATGTTTCACTTGTTCTTTTACTTAGCCAGTATTTTTCTTAAAATAGATTCTTTAAAAACTTAAATATTTAAAGGAAAATTTTGTGATAACCCAAACATCATGGGTTTGGTAAGTATGGTATATCTTTCTAATATTTTAAAAAATGACACACACTTATTAAAATTTGTCTATGTAACACCTAAAATTATCTCTGGTGTTACATACTAGTATATGCTACCCACCTTGAGAAACTATGAGGGTGACGGAGATTTCTTTGCATAAATTCAGAAAACAAATTGGACTAAATGGCATAGCTATAGCTATGAAAATAGAACTTCTAAGAATCTTTTTTATAGACCCATGTTAAGAAATCAGTGCTTATTTTGGATATTGGGTGTTTCTAGCAACTTGATTCCCGTTCTTCATTTCTTTCCAAACATAAGAAATTGTTGAGAAATGTGGCACTGCACCCGTTATTATGGTCTTCGTCGGGCCTCTGTGGTGTGGGAAATAGTGAGGAGCTCTAAGGCAGGGCCTTCTTTGGGCTCAACCCCGTGATTCTTGGTGTCATTTCATAGAGGCTCCTACGAAAAGAAGTAAATTTCCTCGATTGGATAGAATGATCTCGAGGGACACGAGGGTCATGTCTTACCTGGGCTTCTAGATACCAGTCTCCCACAGGACAGGATTTGTAACTTAGTACTGTCTGTATAGAGCTGCTACCCAGTAAATATTTATTAAGACTGAATGAATGAAGGTGCCAGTGAGTAGATATGCTTTTGAGATAATTGATGGGAAATTTTATTTGTAAACATTATTTTTAAGGACCTGAAAGCCCGGATGCAGGAGGCTATGACTCAGGAGGTGTCAGATGTTTTCAGTGATACCACAACTCCTATCAAACTATTGGCGGTGGCAGCTACAGCCCCTCCTGATGCACCCAATAGGGAAGAGGTAGGTATCTGAGGTCTTCTGTCTTCTTTTGGCTAGCCTCATATGTATATTTGTAAAGGTGAAATGTGTTTACAGTTTACATCAGCAGCAATGGTTGGGAAATTGGGGATAAAAGGTGGACAAATAGAAGGGAAGAGTGTCTTTTAGGCTACTAGGTGTATCAGTTATGAATGTCTTTAGTTGCAAGCAGTAGTAGACTGTCAGAGATGAAAGCCTACCACATGTCAAGAAACATGGAAGTAAAGAGCTCTGCTGTTGGTTCAGAAGCTAAAATGCATGAAAGCTGGCATCTCTATGATTATCTTGGTCTTTTCCCCATGGTATGGGCTGGCTTTTGCTTCCTCAGCATTTCGTTCAGGCAGGAAGAAGTGAGGGATGGGGTACTCCAGTTGCAACTGTCCATTTTATTTTATCTGATTTTTATTAGGGCACTCTGTTCATAGCACAGTCGGGACAGTCTTTTAAAACTATCGGATGTCATTGTTCTCAACGCTTCCCCGACCCCTCCCTGTCCTCATAGTGTTGAAGGCAGCTCTCGGGAGAACAGATAAACCCCCTGATTAATAATGTGATGTAAACAGTGTGGCTAATACAAAGTGACTGGAAGCAGAGTTGGGATGCTTCCCCGACCCCTCCCTGTCCTCATAGTGTTGAAGGCAGCTCTCGGGAAAACAGATAAACCCCTGATTAATAATGTGATGTAAACAGTGTGGCTAATACAAAGTGACTGGAAGCAGAGTTGGGAAAACATAGGCGTGTTTGACTCTTGGAAGCTGGTATGGTCAGTAAAAGTGGCTGCAGCACATCGCTGAGTCTGGTCCCACCTACTTTGCTGACCTCATGTTGGTACTTGGTCTTTCCCTTCATGTTCCTCTACAATGACCTTCATTTCCATAGCCTGCTTTTCTCCTTAGCGTCTGTCAACACTAGACATATTCACCTTGCTATTTACTTGTCGGTCTCCCTCACCTTAGCGTGAAACTTCGATTGCTCCATTTCCAGTTGATAGAATAACACATGGCACATTATTGGTGCTCACAGAAAAAAAGTAAAGGCTTCTCCTTCCGGAAATCTTCCAGGAGACTTTTGCTTTTGTCTTATTGGCTAGAACCCTTATCACATGGCCACCTCAGCTGCAAAAGAATCTAGGAAAGGATGAGTTTAGTTTTCCAGCCTTTATAATAAGGCATTAAAGAAGGAGTTTGGGTCCGGCACTTGAGATGCTGTGGGGTTTATGGTGAAGGTTAGGGTTATTTTTATTTGCTAGTGACCCGTTTTCTTTCCCTGCCTAGGAGACTAGGCAGTTCAAGTTCAGGGTCCTTTTAGGCTAGGATGATTTGGTACTTTTTCATTCTTGTCTTCTGTGAGTTTCAAATCAGTAGGTCCAACTATTTGCTGGTCCCTTCCACCTGGATGCTTCGGTGGTGCCTCAGTATATGTTGATTGTCTCCTGTACTGTCTTGGAAGTTTGTGTGTCAGCGTAGACCTTTCCACTCATCTTCACACACCAAGTAACTCAGGCATTAATTTGATCTTATAAATATTTCTTGAGTTCTTCCCAGTTTCTATGGATATTTCCACAGCTCCGATTACTGTTATTTCTCCCCCCAGTACTGGGGATTGGATCCAAAACCTTTACCTTAAGCTACATCCCCAGCCCCATTTATATATGTATGTATGTATGTATGTATGTATGTATGTATGTATGTATGTGACAGGTTCTTATTAAGTTGCTAAGTTCCCCAAGCTGGGCTCACACTGTGATCCTTCCATGTCAGTTCTGTATCTCTGCCTACTTATCTTCATGCTCTTCTTTTCTTCCTAATCCCTCTTTATCCTGCTAGTCTTTCCTTCCTGGATAGGTTAAATGCCTCTGCTTTTGTCCCATAATGTCAGTGTTCAGCTCTTTTATTGCACATAGCATGTCATGCATCTTAGTTACCTTTCTCTCATTGCTGAGACAAAAATAACCTGACACCCAGAGTTAAAGGGGAAAGGGTTTATTTAGCTCACTGTTTGAAGAGGTTTCAGTCCATAATTGGCTGGCTCCAAGACAGCATGGCATATGGCAGAGGCGTTTCACATAGGAGAAACAGTTCATTGTGCCTATGTGGTAGCAAAAACAACAGGAAGAAGACAAACCTCTTTTTGTCCCTTATGTAGTATCCAGGATACCGGGGTTAGGGCGGTACCAAACCACTTAGTGTACTGATTTAGTAATCTCGCACTGTCTAGATTCAGCCACCTCTGACCAAATGAGGTTTTGGGGTACATCTAGACCCAAACCATAACCCTATAAATATCTGTTTATACTGCCCTACCTCTCAGGCTGTGAGCTCCTTGAGGTGCAGAAATCATGTCTTCTTCATCTTTCTGTCTTCAGCATCTACCTTAGGAGTTGGGCATGTAGTAGAGGTGGTTGGTGAATTTTGGTTGAGTGTCAAGAAAAGCAGCTAAGCAGTCGGTTAAATCAGTGGAGCATTAGACATGGTTTGGGATCAAGAGGGACAGGAAGGTAGGCAGAAGGTAGAGTATGGGAAGACAGATAGGGTAAGAAAGAAGGACTGAGGACAGGAAAAGGGACTGGAGGATGAGGGACTTCAGAAGGAGGTTCTGAGCATTAAATGGGAGGAAGCCAGGAAGCTGAATCCAAACAAGAAGCCAGACTGGGGAAGAGACTTAACAGGATAGACTCAGAACACTGGCAGCGAGATTGGAGCTTGCTGTCAAGCCTAGAAGCCTTTAGAGATTATCTGCCTCGGGTCAGAACTAGACACCAGGGTGGCCAGGCAGACCCTGAGGAAGGCATAGATAAAGAGGGTGCACTCCGCCACACAGTTCCTGACATTCCCCTTGCATACTGTAAACCTGATCCAGTGCTCTTGGATATTTTGCCTTTCGGGTAACAATTTAATGCTGTTCAAACAAATGATTGAAAAGCTTTTGTCATTTGTAAGTAAGTTAAATGGCCTTCTTCATGATGTACAAGTTTGCATGTTGAAGGAAAGGTTAACTTCTTAAAATTTGAGGGCTGACCCGGGCATGGTGGTGCACACTTATATTAATACTCAGAGGATCGCCACAAGTTCAAGGCCAGCCTATGCTACGTAGGGAGCTCAAGGATAGCCTGAACTATAGAGCAAGACCCTGTTTTTAAAAAAACAAAAACAAAAAGAAAAAGGGCTGAATAAACAATTAAGTAGATGGCTTGCAGTCAGGATTAATAAAAGTTAACCTGGCCCTTGAGGCAGGCCTGAGTGTGAACACTAGATCTATTAACCTACAGAGGTCAAAGGCAGAGTCCTTACAATATTAATGGTAATGGGATATATGAGGGCTAGTGTTCTAGGGAGGCTGGAGTTCAGTTTAGGACTCTTGGTGTATATTGTGGGCTTGAATTGTGCACCGCTCTTTGTGGTAGAGCCTGGAGGGTTTGTCTTCTTTAGATTAGAGGATGAACCTTTTGGGAGTGAGGGTTTAGTCTTCAGATTCTGTACACTCCTTGTTGCGGGGTATCCAATGCTGCATGTCTTGCTCACACTTGGTAAGTAAAGCTGACACGTGTGCACATTCGTGATCCTCATGGCTAAACTGCTGAAGGAACACATCAAGGCCAAGACTTGGCATTTGACTGTTTTGGCAGTAGGGTTCGATGTCATCTCTCAAGTCTTTGAGTAATTGCTTCAGTCTGCTTAAAGAGAGACTTTTTTTTAGGCTGCTTAACCCATTTCATTGAAGTAAATTTTCTTATGCCATTGTTTTTTCCTGAAGGTGTTTGATGAGAGGGCAGCAAACTTTGAAAACCATTCAGGAAGGCTTGGGGCCACAGCGGAGAAGGCAGCTGCGGTGGGAACTGCTAATAAATCAACAGTGGAAGGCATTCAGGCGTCAGTGAAGACGGCTCGAGAACTCACACCCCAGGTGAGTTGTGCTCATTCTTCATTTCAATTTTCTCCACACAGAGTTGAGCAAACCATGTGCATTACAAAAAGTTTCCTATACATCTTGAACTTACTGTAAGTCATATTTAAAAAACATTCAGGGTATCAAGGTTAGTGATTTCTAGGATTAGGATTATACAGGACTTTTAACTGTATATATTCTTGTATTGTTTGCATTTTTTTCTTCCAGTGAGCATATGTTAGTTTTAAAAGTAAAGCAGCGTTCCTCGCCAGCACACATATATAATTAGGAGAATATTTGGAGGTTATTTTGTTTATATTTCAGAATTTATGTCTTATCTCTTTGAGGGAATTAACAAATCAGCTGTTTCCATAGCTTGTTTTCTTTTTTCTATTTAATTGTATAAACAAGGCAAACAGTTATATAACCAAAGTATAGGTAGTAAGTTTGGGAGCAAAATAAGATTGGGAACAAAAGAACATAAGCTGGACAGGAATTAAAATTCTAACAGGTGACAGGTTTTTCTTAAAATGTAATCGGCCCATCATCATTTAGTATATTTGTGCCATTTTTCTTCTATTCAAATTATAGAAAATCCATTATTTTTCATTGATTTATTCAGCCAATATTTATGAAGTACCTGTAATATTTTAGGAATTCTGGTGAGCTTGTAAGTCTGTTTTACTTGCTTTCATGGGAACTTGGTGTATGTGCTGCCGAAGCCAGCATGCTTTCATGGGAACTTGGAAGAGACAGGAAATAAGCAGTTCTTGTTACTGGTTTAGCTTTTGCCATTGTGGCATGTTAGCAAATCAGGTTCTCTGTCTCTGTCTCATTCTGTCTCTGTCTCTTGCTGAGGATCAAACCAAGAACTTTGTTCATACTAGGCAAGTATTTCACCACTGGGGTACATCCCAGCCCAAATTAGATGGCTCTTCAAAGGTCACATTCATCCAACTTAAAAAAAAAATTATAAAATACGAACATCTTTAACTTTATTTAAAAATTCTGGAGCCAGGTGTGGTGGCACAAGTCTGTAATTCCAGCACTCAGGAGGCTGAGGCAGGAGGATCACCTGAGTTCAAGGCCAGCCTGGACTACAAAGTGAGATGCAGTCACAAACACACACTTTGGTAACTCATGGAACATGAAACAGAATTTCAGTATAAAATTGAGGTTTCTTTAAAAACAAAAAACAAACAAAAAAAAACACCCCAAACAGAAAACTAAGCTTAAGATGCTAATTTTGGAAGGAATTAGGATTTTGGAGACAGATCTGGACTCGAATACTCTGTGAACTTTTTTTTTTTTTTTGCCAGCACTGGGGACTGAAACCAGAGCCTTCACAATGAGCTACATCTCTAGCACATTTTTTTCTTTTGTGAGACAGGGTTTCACTGAGTTCCCCAGGTTGAACTTGAACTTGAGATCCTCTTGCTTCAGTCTCCCAGAGTGCTGGGATTATAAGTGTGTGCCATCACACATAGTTCCTCTGAGCCTGAGGCTTAGTTTTCTCATCTGTAAAATGGAGCTAATTTTTTCCTAATGGATTGTTTTGAGGACTAAGAATAGATGTGCACAGCCAGTATTAGAAAGGAAACAGTAAATGTTATTTTCTTCATGCCCAAATTACTGCCACTGACTACTTGGGACCTCTTGAGCAAGTCACATTTTTGGGGTCTTGATTTTTGTGTTTGCAAAGTGGAGATATTACCTATCTTGTCTTTCTTGTGCAGGGTTGCTGTAGGGATTATAAAAGGTAATGTGAAAAGCACTGTAGACAGGTAGTTAACTAATACATTATTTATAATCAGGGATGAATAATTATTACCTATTTTTTTGGTGGTGGTAATCAAACCCAGGGCCTTTGCACTGAGCTAGATCTCTGCCACTCCCCCCACCCCTTTTGGGTACCGGGGATTGAACTTGGATCCTTGCGCTTGCAGGGCAGGCGGTGGAACCACTGAGTTAGATTCCCGGCCCTCTGGCCCTTTTTTATTTTGAGACAGTCTTGCTGAGTTGCCCAAGCTGGGCTCATCCTTGTGTTGCCTCAGTTTCTCAGAGTGCTAGGATTATAGGTATGTACCACTCTATCAGCTTTTAATTTTTATTGAGTTTTAAGATAGAAGAGTTGATGTCAGTTTTGTTGTATGTTCTTCCAAAGTACCAAATAAACACTCATTTACTTTGTTACTTTCTTACCTTCTTAAAATCGGGCCAGTCTGGGCAAGGGGGTGCATGCATCCCCAATCCTAACTCTGGGAGACCAAAGCAGGAACACTGCAATGTCGAGCCCAGCCTAGGCAATTTAGTGAGACCTCGTTTAGATGGATCGATGGATGGATCCATCAGGCCCTGGGGGCTGGGCATGTAGTTCCATGGTTGAGCATTTGCCTAGTGTTCACAAGGTCCAGGGTGTGAGCCCCAGCATCAACAAGAAAGAAGAAAATCAGGTCACTGACTGTAAAACCTTTGTGGGGCTTGCCCACTGCCTCCACTCTGGGGAGGTATTTGAGATCAAACCGAATGTGTTCAGCTTGAAGAGACCCATGGATTTTTGGCTTTATGGTGCCATCTATAGGTAGAGAGCAGGAAGCATTGCTGCAGGTTTGTATGCTCAGTGTGAAGGTACTTGGGTGTTTACAGGTTATTCTATCATTGTCAGGTGGTTTCGGCTGCTCGAATCTTACTTAGGAACCCTGGAAATCAAGCTGCTTATGAACATTTTGAAACCATGAAGAACCAATGGATTGATAATGTTGAAAAAATGACAGGTAGAGTTTTGTGTAAAGTTCTTGTTTGATCTGTGAGGAATGTGCCCTGAGAAAACCGAGCAGCACTGGTTATTTACTCAGCTGTAATTGGATAAAGAGATGGTCATGTGCTCAACAGTGTACTTGGCTCTGATTAATGCTGCCGAGCAGTGGCGGCTTCTCATTCAAGCCTTGCAACTTTGTCCAAAGAGAGACTGAGTTTCTTTTATTTTAATGCTGCCCTGTCAGTGTGATGTTTATTGTTGCTGCTCCTATCTTCTTTTTGAATAGTGTCTTTGCCCAGTCTGAGCCAGAGTTTGGTTTCAGGCTGGGAGGCGGTGTTTGTGGATACAGTAAGTGTCCCTGTCATTTTCAGTAGGTTCACGTTTCAAGGAACCACAATAGCTACCATTTAATACAACTTGTCTCAGAGCCTCCTCCAACTTATCAACTACGTAGTTTTTTTAAAAGGAAAAACCAACCACATACAAACCTGTGTCTGTGCGACTGAAGCAGTGCACTTCTGAACCTTCTTTCTCTGTTGGGAGGGATAAGAGTAAAGGGAAGAAATGAGGAGCGTAGGCTTTCACTGTCCCCGCAGAATCTGCTGTGTGACAGGGGTCTGTAGCAGCCAGAGATGAAAGCGGAGCTCCGGAAGTGTCTGAAGAGAGGTAACAGAAATAAGAAACAGGCTGTTAGGGTTATTGGAATCTTCCGTGTGGCTCATCTTGGGCACTGCAAGCTGCCAACAGTCAACAGATGGCTGGGCAGTGAGCTAGGAAGGGAGAAAATGTTATTAACAGATAATGCGGTGGTGATGTGGTGAAGGTTTTGATGCAATCTTTGTTTCCTCCTGATGTCTTTGCATTTCTGGTTGTCTGTGGTGGATACAAGAAGACCAGTGACCACGGTTGATATAAAAGCTGTGAAATCCTTAAGACCTGGGCTCTGTATTATAACCCCCCACTATAATATTTCCCTGGAAGCTTCTGACTGTGTCAGAAGAGCTTCAAGCAAGGAGAAAATTCTCAGTGTTATACTTTCTCATGAGAAATGAATGGACAGTAGTGTTTTGGAGTCTCTGTTCTAAAATAGAAACTAACTTCTATTATGGTTTTTTCTTCTGACAGGGCTGGTGGACGAAGCCATTGATACCAAGTCTCTGTTGGATGCTTCTGAAGAAGCAATTAAAAAAGACCTGGACAAGTGTAAGGTAGCCATGGCCAACATTCAGCCTCAGATGCTGGTTGCTGGGGCAACCAGTATTGCTCGTCGGGCTAACCGGATCCTACTGGTGGCTAAGAGGGAAGTGGAGAACTCTGAAGATCCTAAGTTCCGTGAGGCTGTGAAAGCTGCCTCTGATGAATTGAGCAAAACCATCTCCCCAATGGTGATGGATGCAAAGGCTGTGGCCGGAAACATTTCTGACCCTGGTAAGCAACAGTGCATGGTGTGATTCACCTCAGTGAAAGGCTAACAGGAAAGGTGATGAGAGAACACATATCTTACAACCACCACATACAAGGTCTGGCAGCAGAAACTATAGACATTCAGTGGGAGACTATCTGCTTAATCTTTTTCTGTCCACATCTACAGTCTTGGCAGGCTTACTGCTTTCTGGATCAACTTGTCTGTGCTTTCCTAATATTGTTTTGCCAAAAATAATTCCTACACCTTTTTGGTCATCACTTCGGAAATTTCTCAAAAGATTCTTGGTAACCAATTTATAAATCATTTAGCTTGTGAAACTGATGGTCTTCTAACTTCTCTTAAGATTTTCTTCACCTGGCTTTTCTTTATAAAGCATACTTTATTTCTGGAAAACCTAGAGAGCTTGCTTATTAACTCTAGGTCTCATTGACCCCACACTAAAAAAAAAAAAAAAAAAAAAAAAAAAAAAAAAAAAAAAAAAAAAAAAAAAAAATCTAGTTTTTTTTCCCAGCTGGATTATACTCATATTTTCAATACCACTAAAATGGAACATAGTTGGAGCCACTCCTTTGGTTAGAATAATCTGAATTCTTTCCTGTTTTAATACTCAGTATTTCTTGTTTTTTTTGGTACCGGGGATTGAACTCGGGTCCTTGCGCTTACAAGGCAGGCCACCGAACTGCTATCGGGTCCTTGCTTACAAGGCAGGCCACCGAACTGCTGAGCTAAATCCCCAGCCCAGAATTTCTAATCTTGACTATGAGTAGAAGTCAGTGAGAGAGTGGGAAGAAGGGGCTGTCCTCTTCATCCCTGGCCCAGGCGTAAAATCT